AATTCCTTTTTACTTTCAAAATATGAAAGTAAAAATACTGATCAAAACAGGAAGTTTAACTAGGTGGGACTAAGATTTTGATGTTCATTACAGATAAATTAACAGAGAATGTGAGCCATGGATGATCTATAATATTTGACCCTAGAAGTGTACCAGTGTCACCAGCCACTTGAGAAGAAACTATAATGTTTTGACTATTACGTGTCAAAAATTTAGCCATCAGTTAAAATTCCAAAAACTCACTGAATTTATGAAAGTAAGCAATATGTTCTGTTGAAGTAACAAATCATCCAAGGGTATTTTAGGGAAATGAATAGTCTTAAGATTCTATTCTTCTTGTCATATCAAGATATAGTAAATCTGTATTTGTGGAGAGAACACTGTAAAAAAACAAACTTCTAAATCCAAGTGTATAAAACTCAAACTGTATAATTATTTTGTTACTTCTTCTAGCATAAGATTGGGACACACCTCAAATAAAGCACCACACATAATAATAATAATTATTGCCTGCCAGAAAATGTGCTAAGCAAGTGTTTCATATTATTTAACTTAATTCTCAAAGAATCTAATGAAGTAGGTGCTATTATTACCTTCATTTTACTGATGAGAAAACTTAGCCTGAGGGAGGCTAAATGTCTTTAAAATAAGAGCATGCCTAGTATAATCAGTTTAGAGCCATTTAGATATATCCTGATAGCTGGATTAGCCAAGAACCCTATTAAAAATAATATATTTCAAGGAAACTTAGACATTGTAAAATTGCTATTCTATATAAAAATTTCAATAGTCCTTTAGGGTTTGAGGAAATATGATTTAATTATTAAACTATTTAACCTTAGTAATAAAGACCAACCTAATAACGTATAAACTATATTGAAGTTTTCAAGATTAAAATTCTGTGGTTCTTACACTTCTCTCTTTCAGAGTTATACTTTTTTTTTTTAACATCTTTATTGGGGTATAATTGCTTTACAATGGTGTGTTAGTTCCTGCTTTATAACAAAGTGAATCAGTTATACATATACATATGTTCCCATATCTCTTCCCTCTTGCATCTCCCTCCCTCCCAACCTCCCTATCCCACCCCTCCAGGCGGTCGCAAAGCACCCAGAGTTATACTTTATATGACTTTCTGTATCAGTTGTGAAAGCTTCTTCTGGGCTAAAACACATCACAACAATGAGATTTTTAAAACTGTGATTTGCATTCAAGTATATGTTATTGAATTTACATACTTCAAAGAATATTCTCATTAACAGATATTTTAGAATAATTTTTCAGGGAGAAAAATTTAACTCAGGGCCCCTAGAATCTGAAATTTTTATTTGTAGGAAAATTTGCACATAAAATTTGTATCTTTTAAAACTAATATGAATAAAGAGGAAAAATCATTAACTCTTCATGCCTACAAATTACTGACTCTTCCAAGGCTCTGGAAATAGTTGTTTAAAGGAAGAGGTCAAGGTATCTAGGTGATCCTATATGTAATTTTTGTTTAAAAGAATTTAAATTGCCATGTTTACATTTTCTGTTCAGTTTGCAGTATTAAATATATTTCATTTTAAAGTGCAATACATCACATTTGTCAAGACAGCAGAACCCTGTGGTCCTTAGAAAGCGGCTACTGAAGAGTGAAGCTGGAGCATTTTTTTCCTTCCAAATTGTTCTCAGCGACCAAGCTTGTTTTAAGATGCTCTCGGCCACCAATTTTGTTTTTTACATGCATTATTGTACAAATCCGGGAAACAAACTCAGACTCTTGACTTTGATCACATTTTCAGCAGTCTTGATGTTTCTGATAATGTACATGCTTCCTGTGTTTGTAGTCTTGTGTAGCATTAGTACAATATTAACCTTTTAAATGAAACTAACAATATCAATCATTGTCCTCTTACAAACACTTTATGGTTTCTACCTGTTATTTGCTACACCAGTGCTGATGGCTTCCTTTAAAAAAAAAACTACTTAAAGATAGAGTAGAAAAAATGTAAATCTGATAAGAGTTCAGAAAACTGTAGTCCCAGGTTTGCAATTTCAAGTGGAGAAGAGCGGCAAAATCTGTGATCATAGGGATAAAAGATGAAGCCATGGTCTTATATGGTCATAGATAAGAGAGATGCTTTTGAGAAATGAGCATGATATCAACCACAAAGACTAAAAAATAGTATGCATGTGTTTCACTAATAAAATGGGCAAAGTCAGGATTTGCCGTAGTTCAATGTTATTATTTGAGGGTGACTGTGTCCTCAACTCCTGTCTAGCCAATTCTGACACCCAACCCGCCCAATGCTCCCGCCACTCTCCTCCACGCCAACTGCCCTCCCTCCCAACACGAACGCGCACACACACCCAGCCCGGCCAGAAGATAAAGCTAAGATGGCAGCGCGGAAAGTACTGGAGCCGCGCTCAGTGTGGCCGGAAAAACAAAAGCAAAGGCCTCTATATATTTCTTCATTCTGCACATTTCTCTGAATAATAAGAGCCCCCTGGCCCCCTGCCCAACACAAGGCATTCTGCAGTAGTGCGCGCAGTATTGGCGGCAGGGGACGCTTGCTTTTGCACATTTCGAGAAATCCACTTCTCCCGTTTGCAGCGGTGGTTCAGGTGACCCTCGCGACTTGCCTTGGGGACCACCCTCCCCTTCAAGTCGCCTGGACAGTGGAATCAAGGGTGAGTCCAAGCGCCCTCTCCTTCCCGGCTTGCGCCCCATGCCCTGCCACCCCACGGAGCCTTCCAAGGTGCCCAGCTGCCAAAGCAGAGGAGTAGCAGTCGCAGTGACCCGGGAGCGCACAGTGCGGAGGCAGGAAGAGGAGGAGGAGGAGAAAAAACGCTGCATTGGCTACAATTTAGAGTAAAGCGGCCGCTACCGCTGCCGTGGAAGGAAACGCCGCCAACCGCAAGAGAAACGCCACCCTCGGATACCTAAGTGAGCATGTGTGCGACTCTGCGCACGCCTAGTTGCGCCCCTCAATGACAACGGGTTTCTTAGAAATTTATCCACCTACCGGGTTTTGTGTGTACCCAGAAGGCTCGGGAAGGGGCCTGTCTGGGACTGAAGGGTATCGAAAGGACCAAAGGGGAATTCAGGACTGGGTAAGGGGGGACTTGGGGAGACAAGTGCTCCAGGTCAGTGTCCACTAGAAACTCTAAACGGGCAATGACTGCACATGCCACCACCTAAGCCTGAGCTGGAAATGTTTCTCTGTGCCGGCAACATTTATTCATTGACATATTCATTCATTCAACCAGTATCTACTTCCCTCCTGCTTAGGGCAAGAGCCTGTGCTAGGAGTTGGCAACGTGATGGGGGAACAGACACAAGCATCATTCCAGTCTTCATGTTTTGCTTTGTGTGTAACCATCTGTGAAAAGCCGTGTGACAAGGTGGCTGTCCTAGACGCTTGAAGCCCTCCCACAGTCCACAGTCCACAGTCCACAGAAGTATTATTTTGACCATTTTTCAGAGGATGAAACTTGCCCAAAGACATACAAGTATCAGAGTCAGGATCCAAACCCCTCCTCCTTTTGGGGGCCTCTCTGGCTCCTGCAACAGCTACAGCCCTTAGAGCTGCTAAGAGTTCGGGCCTTTAACTCCACCAGCCTTTAGCGGCCTCCATACCTGTGTATTGGCTCTCCTCCCGGAGTTGGGGGCGGGGGGAGGGGGAGCGGGGGCGGGGCGGTTTCTCTTCGACACAGGTGTGTAACTGTGCTGAAGCATGAGGATAGGAATTTCGACCAACAAATACTTACTGGCTATCTACCATACAGGAGGTTCTAGACAGGGGCTGAGGTAGACACCAAGATAAACAACAAGCTCTGAAGGAGCTTATAAGATAGTTGGGGAAACAAGTTTCCTTGTCTTTAAAAAAGACAACTTTTTAAAATAAAAATGACATCCATTTATTATTCAGAGCCCCAGATAAATGCACTCCTTCAGCACTCTCTCCCCGCAAAAACTAGAATTAGTTTAATTTACTTCCCCACTCCCTGTTTGTACTTCTCTAAACAGTAAACAGGGCTTGATTTTTTTTCCCCTAAAGCAGGACATTTAAAGAGGCTTAAGAGCCAGTAAGTATATAAAGGATATAGCACTGGGATGATAGGACTTAAAAATGATTTTGCCAGGACTATTGGGCAAACTCTTCAAATTCAGAATCAAAAGGATAAAACTTAATAGGAATCAGGGTGCACTGGCGCATACATTTCTACGGCATTTACTTAGAAGGAGCTGGTAGAATAGCTTGGAACAGGGGACTCAGCAAATATTACATTCTTATGCATAACAGTGATAAGATCTTTGATAGATATGGCATTTTCAGATGTTACACAGTCAGTCACAACTAGTTTCAGGTCATATTCAAGAATTATCTTTAGTAATGTAAGTCAGGGAGTAAAAAGATAAGCCATGAAGTGACCACTGTCAAGAGATAAGAGTGCCCTCTTAGGGTGAGCGTGGAGT